TCCTCTCTTCCAGTCCATGGCTCTGGCTATGCCCTGCTCAAAAGCTGCTTCCACGTCTTGGTGGTTAGCAATTGCTTGAGGACGTCTTCTTCAGAAATTTGCCTAATCCTTCTCTGAACCTATTGATACCTGTGGTCTCCACGACTTCACGTGCCAATGAAGGTCACAATTTAATTATGCAATTGGCAAAGCAGCACATCTTTTATCTCTTTTAAAACTGTTGACTAATTATCTCATTAGGAACCCCCTTCCTCTAGTGATGTGAAAAATAGCACACAGTCTGTTTGCCTTTTTTGTACTTTATTTTATAAACCCTGAAGATGTTCCCACTCTCTGTCCTCTCTCTTCCAAACTGCAAGTCTTATTCTATTTATTCTCCTTGTGTACAGATGCCACTCTGTACTGCTGATCATTCTCGATAGAAGATCCTGAAATCTCTCCTACTTATGAGTAGATATAAGGACAACACTTATGAGTAGATATAAGGACAACATTTTTTATGATGAGGGTGGTTAAGCGCTGCAACAGGTTACCTAAAGAGGCTGTGGGATCTCCATCCCTGGAGATATTTATACTTGACTGGACAAGGCCCTCAGCAACCTGCTCTAGACTTGTAGCTAGCCCTGCTTCAAGCACGAGGTTGGACTAGAGATCTCCAGAGGACTCTTCAACCTAACTTATTGTCAGACTCTATGATTCTACTTCTACTAGAACCTTTTCAGATGAGGGCAGGAGCTAAAAAATGAACGTCATGCTCAAAGTGTGGACCCACCATGCCCTTATTCTGTGATATAAGAAGTGTTTTCTGGGATGTTGCTCGCCCCCTTTCTAATAATTCTCTAACACTGATTTTCTTTTCTGGCCTCTGCTGAGCACTAAACTTCTGTTCCCAATGATCTGTTCTTTGCATAACAGCAGCTAATTTTGAGTCCACCACTGTATGTATATAGTCAGGGTTGTTGTTCCTCACATGCGTTATTTTGCACTTGCCAACATTGAATTTCATCTGCCATTTTACTGCCCACTCAGCGTCGTGAGCTTCTTCTGCAATTCTTCATACTCAGCTTGAGATCTGACTACCCTGAACAGCTCTGTAGCATCAGCAAACAAGGTTTTAGAGAATCTGCAGTGACGATAAAGGTCTTTATGATCCTGTTTCTTTAAATATCAGTGAAGGGAGTTCTGACTGCTGGGATTGCAAGCACTGCAAATATTTCATTAATTCAGGAAAGCCTAAAAGTGAAATAAACAAACCTAGGTCCCATTTACATTACAAAGAGCTACTATACTGCAGGAACTGGCTACAGCACAGGAACACAAGACACAGCTATTACAGTTTGGTGCAGGAACACAGCTCAGCCCCCCTCTGCGGGTTTTTGCAGCCCCAAACGCTGCTATTAGAAGTGGTCTCTGCAGCATGTGCGGCTCTTGTGTTTCACTGGGTCAGAAAAATTGATCGGTTTCTCTCTGGCGCCTGAGCTGAGCAAAATGCCAAATGACATTAGTAGTGAAGGTAAATCAGATTTCTAAAGTGCACACTTGTAACAGTCAAAGGGGTTAATAGTAAAAGGCGATTTGTTTTGTGAAAATGATTAACCTGACAGCAGTCTCTTTAAAATAAATCAATGTCTTCATCTGGCCTAACCAAGGGGTTCCAGGTGGGGAGGTGAAGCTGTGATCGCTCTCCCCTTTCCCGGGAGAGGAGAGATCCCAAGGGGCTGCTGCTCACCTCACCCCCCCCCCCCACACCAACCCCACTGCGCCCCGCGTGCTTAGCTGTGCCGACCCTCTTTTGCGAGGCTGCTGCTCCAGCCCCACCCTGCAGATCAACAGACAAGGATCTCTCACAGATGGCCTGCTGGCACAGCAAGCCTTCTCCAGAGCCTCACCTGTACTCCCTCTCCTGAAAGAGCTGAACAAGACTGGATCTGCCAGACTCTGTCACGGATTGTGTGTAGGTTCAGTCCCTCGGCAATCTCTGAAGCAGGGGCAGCCGTCAGCAAATCCTGCTTGTTAGCAAATATGAGCACGGGGACTCCACTAAGCTTTTCTTCATCCAAAAGCTCAGCCAGCTCCTATATCATTTACAAAAAAAAAAGGGAAAGAGGGAGAGAGGGAAGGGAAGAAAGCCTTCAACCACCAGTGGTTGTCTCTAATTAGAAATATATTTAGGGCAAATGCTGGAAGACTGTGTTTCCAGTGAAACCTAGGTCTTATTATAAGAGAGCAAAAAATGTACACAATCATCTGTGCCCAAGGTTCAAAAGCGATTTCTTCCAATTACAGGTTACAAAAATCTTCATCTTAGTCTGAAATTAGCAGTTGCCTTAAAGGCTACAACTCTGTTTTACCAGTCCCTGCTCCCTGGAGACCAAAACTGACGAAACAGCAAAAACCATGTAAATTGGCAGTGTGAGGAGTCTGTCTTAAGTTATCGTCTGACTGGCATTTGTACCTGAGCTGCCATTGACAACCAGCCCTGGTATCTTTGCTAATAATGAGTTTCAGGGCTTTGTTCCAAGTTTTATAAACGACAATTTGAGTTGAAGAGAATTGTCTGTCGTCCCCCCCCCCTGAAATGGAAATCTCTCTCCCACAAGAAAGTGGTGATGCTTTTGAAGGTCTTGGCTAGCTGAAGACAAGCTAGATCAGCTTTACTTTTTTAATGGGTTTTGGCTCCTTATGGACAGCACATATTGGGTGGCTTCTTAAGAAATGGGTTTGTTCATTCAGAAGTGGGTGACTCACATAGAATCTTTTAATAGCCCAAATCTGAATCTGCAATAGATCAACGATGGCTGAAATCCTTCACGTCTAGGGTTGCGCAATGGCCTAATGTGAAACAAGCCCACGGTCTCAAGTCACTTCCCTACGTGAACATATGGCAAATCCAGCAGAATTTGAACCTGTAGGGACTGCTGGCGTCGCGGACAGATGAGTAGATGAGATTTTTGTGGGCTCCTTGTTCAGCTGAAACGATTTCACACTCTCAATACTGTCCTAACGTCTTTCAAGCACTAACTAGAAACTTGGATTAAATAAATGCAGTTGGGGAGATGCTGAACTGCAGCGGAAATCTGACTCCATTCCCCCCCAAAAGCAATGTTTGGTTTGGAAACCAGAATGAGAGAATGGAGTTATAAACAGAGTTGGCTGGGAATTTTTCAACAAAATAGGTCTTTCATCTGACACGGCTGATTTATTGAAACCAAAACTGTTTGCGGAAACGTGAGGGGTCCAGGCTGACTCCGCCTGACTCGGGCAAGTGCTCTAAGCTCCTGCTTCCTTTCCCTCTCTTTTGCCCAATGTATATTTAATTACTGATATGAAGTAAAACAGATCCAATAGGAGAGAGATTTCCCCCCCACACCCTAAGAACAACCCACAGTCCTGCTGTAAGGGTGTTCCCACCAGACTCGAGACAAAAGAGCAAGTGCCTCCTTCAAAAGAGGCAGAATAGAGGCCTTCAACCTAAATCTCCCATTTCTGGGGTGGGTAAATCTGCTGCTGGCTATTTTGGGACACTGTCACTTTCTGAATTTGACAACAGAAAAGTCAGAAGTCCTATTTTTGTTCCATCCTAAAACACAGAGTGTTATAAAACATCAAAACTTTGCAAAATGGAAATCTTATTTTCTGGCCAGTCCTAGTCTTTTTTTTTTTTTTTTCCTTTCCACTTACATCCAAAAGACAATCAAGTCAATATGATTTCCATTTCAACTTTGTAAATAAGAAAATAGGATTCCTCAGGGTCTTGGTTTGGCAAGGTTTAAAGGACTTACAAAAGTTTTTGCTTTCTGTATTAGGCTCCATCTGCTATTATTGTATAATTTTAATGAAAACCGTTCTATTTAAGCGGAATTAGGCTACCTATTTTCCTTGTTTCACATCTACCAAAATAATCTGCATTGATGTTGAAAGGCAAGTCTCTCTTCAAATGCAAATTCCCTCATAAACAACAAAAGCATCTTCCTAACTTGTGTGTGCAAGGGGCACTCAGAAGCACTCAGCTACTTCAAAGAAAGCTGGGCATAAGTAACTTACCTGACCCGTTTCTTCAAACCTCTTCCTATCTGCACTGTCAATGACATAGATCTGAAAAGGAAAAGGGGGGAAAAGTTACCCTCTCCAGAAGATATTCTTCCATAGTGTCATGTGCTTACATGGGCGGAGCCTAACAGTAATGCTTTCAGGATACAGACTCAGGTATTATTTATAGCAAATGCAGACAAAACTTCATGATGTTCTGAAAAGAGAGGAACCACCTCTTTTACAGGCAGGGAGAGTGGATGGCCATGACCAGAAAGGAGCTGGTGGCAGTACCAGGGATGTTCTCACCACCACCATAGCATCGAGAGAGCAGGAGACTGCCTGGTATCTTTACAGCTGACCGGCTTACAGGCTGCAGTCAACCTCTGGAAGGCAAAAACCTGGGGAGCCAAATGCAGCCATGGTATTCAAGCACAGTACTGATGTGCCTGGGCCATGCTGCCCTCTAGCAGGACAAATCACCTCCTGATAAGCCACCAAGACGCATGATGGCACTCAGGGGTCAGATGAGGCAGGAATATATTGGGGACACTGAGTTCCTCTCCACCAGGCGATCCTACCGCTACGTCCTGGATTGGGCGGTGAGGGGAGGGGGCTGGATCCAGCCTGCAAGACTTTGTCTTTAGCTGCTAGCTTCTCCACCAGGACCTTAGAGGAGACAGGGAGTAGCTGGCTCCCACAAAGCATGACGACAGAGCAGTGCCACCCCCTCGGGGCTGGGCGCCACATCCCATGGCCCCAGAGGGGGTCCCAACCAGACATCCGTTGCCTGGTACAGAGAACGGTGGACCCCAGCCTGCAGGCTCCCTGGCTCGGGAGGAGGTTGCCACCCCCTCTAAGCAGCACGGTATGCGCTAATTTCTTTCTGTAATGAACTCCCCTTTGGGGCAAATGCAAATGAGCCTTTCCAATGGACACGGTGTTAGGTTTGCACTGGCAGAAAGGCTCCTGAAAGATCCCCCTAGATATATGATTAGTAATTCCAGCTGCCTCCCCTTCCCCCAGTAACGCTATTGCAGTTCAGAGCACACAGGCATCAAGCTACATCTAAAGAAATGGGGAACCTCAGTATAACACTCACAGACATGAATCACCTGAGGCCCCATTTTCATTACTTGGGTATCAGAAGATTTTTAAAGGAAAAGGATGCTGGGGCAGTGGACAGGGACAGGACTGGTGACAAACCCTGAGCCTTTTGCTTCCAGTCCCTGCCATTCCCCATCAGCAGTGATTGAAACGGCTGGCATGTCATCTGCATGCTCTTTGGTGGCTTACAGGGAGCAAGTGTCAGCCTGGTTTTCAGGGAACAGATGAGCACAGCACCCCGCCATCAAGATAAATGTCAACCTTGCAGGCAGTCTCTGCAAAACACTCCACACTTCCAAGATAATTTTGACCAAATAGTAGGGGGAGCGAAGACTTCTAGCAGCAATATCTATTAAACTGTAGGCACTCTCTTAATGAGCAGTGCTAGAGTTGTTTAAAATTGGACCAAACACACAGCATGAGAACCTGTATGCTAGGCCTGAGAAGGAGGTAACCCAGCAACCTTGTGGGCCTCTTTGCTGATCACGTGGGGTCTGTGGTCCTTCCTAGGCCAGCAGGTGCACATTGACAAAGGCTGGGGCATACACAGCAGGGCTCAACATAGCTGCACGGAGATGCGTTAGTGGTGCACGTGCTTGGTGTCACGTGACGACGAAAGGCCCACGGGCATTGCACGACACAGCCTCTCCTCGCCACGTGATCTCAAGCATGCGCACCTCTAGTGTATCAGCTAGACCTGTCCTCTCTGCTCTTCCTCGTGCATCCTGTTTGGAGTAGGAAGCAGAGACCAAAAGAAAGGAAGAAGTTGCAGGGCTGGCAGTTGTGCTCTGAGGTAAAACTGAACTGGCAACTGTCCTCCTGCTGGACCTCTCAGGGGAAGTTTAGCAAGGCGTGAATGCAATAGCCAAGTGCTGCTTCTCAACTGAAGAGCAGCACCTCACCATATTACGGTGCTACTCTAATGGGCAAGGAGGAGCACTAAGCCCCAATCAGCCATACTTTCTCCTGCATCACTGTCTTTCTTGCTGGGGAGCTATCTTGCAAGATTAGAACTGGAGACAACAGCGCTCAGGGCAAAAGCCACAAAAACACAGCACAGAGAAGGTAAAGTATGTGTGGAGTGCCTGCTTCCAAACCAGAAAGCACCCTGCCAAATAGCTGCAGGTGCCTGTCTGAATATGCAATCAGCCAAATATCCACACCTTATTTGCCTGGGTTAAGCTTCCAAATATCACAGGTGTGTGATGCAAGACATGCCTCTCATTCAAAGGCACCTGCATGAATTTGAATTTGCAATCACTTCCTGTTTTTTAAAACCCTTTAGAGGGTCCTCTCTGCTTTGTGCAATATAGTTTAGAAGAAGACAGAAGCAGGGGTCCTGAGAACTGTAGCATATCTTATCTCCATCTTCCCTCTACCGCCAGTCCAACACAAGAGCCCACCTGTGGCGGTAGGGTTTGGTTTTTCTCTGGTTTGAACAGCCATTGAGCACATAGTGTTGGAGAACAGAGCTTGAGAAAGCAGTTCCCCTAGAGCTGGGTGCCTCCTGAGAGCAACAGACCAAAACAAAGCCTGGAGTTAAGTGGGTTGCAAGCAGTGGGGCTGGATGAAGAAATAATATGAGGAATAAGTTGGCTCCATTTACGGAGGCATGACCTGCACCAGGCTTGTGAGATGGATAAATTACTGGCCAAAACAGGGTGAGGACTGGCAGAAGACAGAAAAGGAGTCATCAGCATGTACTCGATCCCATCATTTTAGCTGTTTTCCCCACGTCAGTGTGCACGGACATACCAGTCATGGCAAAGCACTGCACTAACATGGCAGCCAGTCTCAGACTGGGAGCTGCCTGCATCAGGCCAGCAGGGAATACAGATCAGGGATCTCAAGTCCATGTGCACAGAAGTTGCTCCCTCCCTGAATTCAGACCACTGCTTCCCCCAAACTGACTCCTCTTCTACCTACCCATTTTCTTACTCATATGAAAAGAAAGGTTTTCTCTGCACATCACTTTAGCTGGGGCAGAGGGAAGGCAGAGAACACAACTGCCTTAATCTCCTTCAGTTTGCAAATTCACCTTTATTTCTCTACCTCCCATGAAGCACACACTGGGAAGGGGGTGGTTTCAAGCCTGCTAAAGGAGACCCACACACAGACTGGTGTAGCTCATTGTCTTTGCCAGCAGAGTCTCCCAGCTACAGCTCTATGAAGCGCAGTCTCTGCAGTCTGAGCGCCTGATGTAGCAGGCAACGATCCCCTAGCTGCTGCTTTGCAGTGCTGATTTTGATCTGCTTACCTACTGCCTCCCCACTACACAGAGCTGCAGAGCACAGACTCAACAGGTACCATCTCCTCATGGCCACGCCATGCTCCCCTTCTTGATCGCCACAGAGGACCATGTTAGGTCTGCCCTGCTAGTTTTTTAAAGCCAGGACAAATAAGAATCCTCTCTCCCTTCTCCTCCTAGGACGATCTCATCATTACTCTTCGTAAAAATCAACCAACCAGGTTTTTGCCATAGTAGCTGTCCTCAAGCACCAGACTCCAAATTAACTTAAGGTTGAATAAGTGGGATTCGCACTGAAGACTGCTGTGGACTTATTAGCTCCATTTAAATAACAGCGTCAATTTGGACAACGCTTTCTAAGCCTTCAGGTACAGCCTGGCTCTTTAGGACCCTGATATTAGCCTTGGAGCAAAGAGTCATATTCCTAGCTGTGCACTGACCCTTCTGTGGAAATGCACCAAAGTTCCCAACACATCAGTGAGTACCTATCTGTGATAGGAGGGAGGAAGGGCATATTTCAGCGAGAGCTTCCCACTTCTCCATGGGGAGCCCTGCAAACCTTGCTTAAAATGGCCTTTTCTCTGCTTCTGCTGGCAATATTGCTTGGGAGAGACTCCTGGAGCCCCCAGCCTGCCTCCATCCTGGCATACGCGGCTGCATGTTAGATAGAGGTGCTCTTTGAAACCAGTCTGGGCAGCACTCAGAGGGTCCCAGGACTCACGTGCTCTGGCATGGAAACATAGAGGTCCTGCACTGTAATTATAATTGTAGTTAACTGTAGCTAACTGTAAGGTAATTGCAGCTAAGATGTCAAAAACATTAAAGGACAGTTTTGTGATTAAAGGACCAAGGGAAGAGACAAGGGGTCTCTCTGTGTCCCTCAGCCAGAAGCTTTTCTATCTGACGCCAGGCATGGCATTTAATTCTTCCGTGCCTCAGTTTCCCCAGCTATAAAACAAAGGCACCATACTGACCTACCTCTATACATGAGGCTTAAGTCACTAATACCCATGACAGGCCTTCAGAGTCTGCAGTGAAAGGAGCTATAGACAGGCAAACTACAGGTTATTCACGTTCTTTCATTTGAAAGAGACCGAGAAGAGAGGGAAGGAACTGGCGGTAACCAGCACCATCCAGTGAAAGTAAAAACATACAACTGAATGATTTCTCCAAACATCACTATATTTTTCTTACTGCACCCAACCAATCTCGCAGTTTCGCTCAGAATAACCCCTGTTACAATGGCAATGGTGTTGCTGAGGACTAGGACATTACATTACTTGTTCTTGAACTTCTGGCTGAGACCTTGGAAAGCCATTGCATGAACACAGCATTCAACTGCAGCCAATACTCACAAGGATATCAGTGTTTTCAAAATAGTTCCTCCAGTACGGCCTGATCTTCCTCTGTCCGCCTATGTCCCATACGTTCAGCTTAAAGCCTTGAGACTGTACACTTTTGATGTTAAAGCCCTAGAAAGAGCAGAAACAAAGCCACATAGAGCATAAACCTGAATGGCTGGATCACATTCACAGGCAGGCATTAACACCTTACATATCCCACGCCCGCAACGGGCAGCGAGACGGGTTGGGCAGCCACAAAGATGGATCGGCTGTGGGAGAGACACTGGCAAAAGTGAGCACAGCCACCAACCCATCAGTCTGCCTGTGTTGTTGGGTCAGGGGTTGATGCTCTCATGGCTACAGAGACATATGATGCAGTTAGTGCCTTGGGAGGGCTCAGCAGGGTGGGTGCAGGAAGAGGTGGGAGAGCTGCAGATAAGGAGAAAACAAGGGCGCTGTGAGAAGCAGGCTTGAACTTGTGAAAGCCGAGCAGAGAGTTCCAGCTAACATGAAGCCAGAGGTCTCAGCTTGATTTGACACGACACAACTAGTGCCGGGCTTAAAAGAGCAACAGCTGCACATCTGAAGGGTCCATTTCATCAATTAGAGCACCAATTGAAAGGGCATTCAAGTAGAAAAACAGGGTGTGGTGCGGGCTGGCAACATGCTGCCACACCACTCAGGGGACAGGGGCTTGGAAGTGGGGTGTCAGGGCTGGGAGCTCTGCGAGGCAGCTCCAGGGTGGGGGGAAAGCATCTCCCACAGCTCTCTAGCAACCTCCTCTGGTCAACACAGGAGCAATGCTGCAGTGCTTCCGATGGGAGGCATCCCTCTCCCCAACCCTGCGGCCCAAAGAAAGGGGGCCAGAGGCATCAGAGGGAGGCTGGAACACGCAGGACCCTTGGAGCTGGCTGGGTGAAGGATGCAAGGAGACAGGGATGTGCCAAATGCTGCAGCATCCCCTGTACACGTTGCCCTTTTAGCAAGGACAAATAGGAGCGAAGTCTCATCCATGTAATACCAGCCTGACTCAAAAGCCTTCTGCAGAACTCCATGGCGCACCTCCACATTTGCACTACCTGACAGATCTGGCCTGACGCCCTCCCGCTCCTTCGGAGAGCCTCCCTTTACGCAGATAACACAAAGACTTAATTGTTTACCAGGCTCCAGTTTTCCCCACTTTGCTGAAATCCGGTGCAGAATCATTAGTGCTTCACATGAATTTATAAGGCAAGTGGGACCACGAGAACTGCCTTGGGCAGGGAGAGGCCTTCCTCACCTGTGTCGGTGTGATGTGGCTGATGTCCTCAGACGCCAACTGTTTCAGGAGTGTGGTCTTGCCAGCATTATCCAGTCCCAAGAGGAGGATTCTCACCTCCTGGTCTGGAGTGCTTTTCAGTTTACGCAGGATTGACAGTAAACCCTAAATCAGCCAGAGAGATCATAGCTGTTACTTCCCACTTTCTCTCCCCCACCACACCAGGCCCTCTTCCCTCAGTATGGGTTCTGTATGGTGGCTGATCCTAGGACACCCTAAACCCTTTCCTGCAGTCCCTCTTCCCATTTCCTCTTCTACTCCTCTCACTCCCCTCAATTTTCCTTCATCTCAAGCAGTATCAGCCACGTCTCAGAAAGCACAAATGTCACTCAGTGGGGCACACTACTGGCTCTATCGCTCATGACACAGCTGTTCAGCATTCCCTGTGCCAGGAAGACAGTGCCTAAGGATATCATATGTGTAGAAGCTGCAACCCAAGTCCCTGCAAGCTCTTCGTTATCTTTATCAGTGGGAAAACCCCATTAATTTAATCTCCCTCCTAGTTAACTGTAGGTTACTGTATACCTGACATCAGTCCTTTTCACAGTAACTCCCTGATCATCTCAAACCCCGTTTATCTGTATAAAACATGCCGGGCCCATGGGGCACGTGCAGTTCAGCTTCTCAGGATGTAGCACTTAACTATCTCAGATCCCCACACGTCCTCACTAAGAAAAGCACAGTGGATTTCAGTCATTAGCCAGGCTCAGCTCTCTGAGCTGACAGTATCGCTCAGGATTAGGAAACAGAATATGCAGGTCAGCTCATTTACAACCGTGCACGTTACAGCAGCACACCCAAGCCTTTGTCAATGCCACCGCTCAGAGACCTGCACCTCTCTAAAATGGCTGCAAAATGTTCTGGATCCTGGCACGTAACCCAGAAATATAAATTACCCCACTTCGATCTGATTCC